AGGAGCTGCAAGAGATATGACAGGATCTGCACCTGCTTGCTACGTCACACAAAAAGCTGACAAGCACCCAGTGCTGCAGGGACCAGAATCCCTCTGCAGAGCCAGCCTGGGACACAGAGCCCTCTGCCATTGTGCAGACTTGGCACAGGGCAGCCCTGCTCTCCTGCCACCATGAGCTCTGCCCCAGTGCCAGCTGAGCAATCAGGGTGATTGCTGCCCCCAGCCAGCCTCCGGAGACCACCGCACCTGGCAAAGTCCGGGGAGCGGGAGACAACGTGCTGGAACTCAGAGAGGTTGATGGTGCCATCCTTGTCGATGTCGGACTCCTCCAGGATCTGCAGGGGAAGGTGAGCGCTCAGCCCTGTGCCTGGGGCTGTGCCCATGCCCTGGCCAGCGGGGCTCACATTTTGGATGAGCTGCTCCATCTCTGCGCTGCTCAGCTGGGACTCCTCGCCTTGCCCTGTCAGGCAGTTCACCAGTTGCTCCAGGTCCTTCCTGTCCAGAATCCCATCGTTGTCAAAGTCTGTGGGGAGAAACAAGGTGGGTTTTGGCAGGGCTGCAGTGACCCCAGGGAGTCACAGACACCGGTACTGCAGCACTCCATGCACCTCACCATGCCAAACCAGCTGTTCCACTGGGAGTTCCTAAAGCCACCATCCCTGTGGGTGCTCCAAGGGCCCTGCCAGCCCTCCTGAACATCAACCCATCACCCTGCTCCCACTTCCTCAAGGTGCAGTGATCCCAGAACACAGCACCTCTCCCCAGCCTTACCAAAGATGCGGAAGGCATAGTGGGATTTGATGTCAGAGGTGGCAGAATCGCTGAAGACACTCAGCATATCAAGAAAGTCTTCAAATGACATGCTGTCATCCCCGCTCTCTGAGGTTGAGAACACGTGGCATATCTGGTGCTGGAAGGGGTTTGCCTGTAGACACAGGAATGGCTCAGGCCGGGCTGGGCCGTGCTGGCTCCATCAGGCACACTTTGGCTGCTGCTCCAGCAGGTGAGCAGTTGCCCTGCTCTGCCACTGCTCCATCACCCATGGCACGGTCAGACCTGTCCCATGCACCTTCTGGGATGCAGCCCCATGCAGCAGGGATAGACAGGGCCCCTTGTGGCACAGGAGGAACCCCCAGGATCCTGCACAGCAGGGATCCCCCATTGCACAGCAGCAGCCCTGGGACTGTCAGTTGCTCGGTGAGGACAAGGAAGCTCTTCAGTGGCACAGCTGAGGACAGAGCACTGGCGCAGGGAGGCCGTGCTGGGTGCGCGGAGCCCTAACCCCAGAGCAGAAGTGTCCCGTGTCTGCAGGGCACCATACCCGCAGCTCAGGCAGCGTCAGGATCTGGCTCTTGGAAACCCGCGCGGAGCAGGCGTTCTCCCTCTCCTCCTTCGGCAGCAGCTCACTGAACCTCTTGTAGGCACTTTAAGAGGCAAGAAAAAGAGCGGCTCTGTGGTGCGAGCGGGGTGGCCGCACCCCAGGGCGCGGTGGCCGCATCCCACCGCTCCTGCCAGCTCTGCCGGGCCGGGTCCCACAGCCGCTCCCGGGGCCAGGCAAGGAGCCGCTCGGGCTGCTGCCCACCGCGGCTCCGGGGCTCCCGACCAGATCGGGCCGGCCCCGGCCGCTACCCCGCTGGGCAGGGCGTCACCGGCAGCACCCGCGGACCTTCGCCCAACCACAGCCGGCTCCTAGGGAGCGCCACCGGCACCTCCCGGCTCAGCTGGCCGTCTCGGCGGAACGGGAGCCCCGGGGCAGGGCCGCAGCTCTCCGTGCCCCGCGGCAGAGGCTGAACCCCGCGGGACCGGGCTGGCACGGGGGGCACTTACGGTACTGCGGTACTCACAGCAAGATCTCCTGCTTGCTCAGGAACGTCAGCTCCTGCGGGGACAGCACGGGTCGGCACCGGGGCCAAGGCCTGAGCCAGGGCACAGCAGCCATGGGCTCCTGGCCTCTGGGCACCTTCCGGGACCCTCCGCCCCGGTGCCGGTGCCGGTACCTGGTACTCGCTCAGCAAGTCCCGCGGGATCAGACTGGCCGAGCCGCCCATGGCGCCGCTTCCCTCCGCACGTCACTCGCCCGCTGCCGCGGCAACGGCAACGGCAGCGGCCCGCCCCGGGCGGGGCAAGCGCGGCCGCCCGAGCGGCCAGCCCCGCCCGCCGGGCACACGGCCGGCTCCCGGCGCCGGCAGCGCGGAGATGGCGGCTGTGGCGGGAGCGGAGCCGGGCGAGCCGAGCCCCGAGGAGTTCGTGTACGGCGAGGAGGACTTCGTGCTGCAGGCAGCCGGCTGGGACGACCCGGACTCCGCGCCCTCGCGGTTCGACCGGGTGCTGCTGGCGGGCTGGAGCGACCGTATGGAGCGGGGACTGTTCCGGTACCGGCTAGGACCGCTGCCCACCCGCGTCCTGCCCGGAGCCGTGCGCATCGTGGCGCAGCTGAACGAGAAGCGCAGCGCGGAGCGCCGCCCGCCACAGCCCGTCCGCAGCCTCCGGGATCCCTTCGACCCCGGCGCCTTCAACTTCACGCGGCTGCGCCCCGCCGAGCTGCTGTTCCGCCTGCGCCGCGCCGGGGGCCCCGGGCCGCCCCCCGACCCGCTGCTGGTGGCCATCAACGCCAGCCCGCTGGAGCGGGGGCACGTCCTGCTGCTGCCGGAGCCGGCGCGGCGGCTGCCGCAGGCGCTGACGGCCCCGGCGCTGCGCGGGGCGCTGGAGGCGGCGCTGCTCAGCGCCCACCCCGGCTTCCGCGTGGGCTTCAACGGGCTGGGCGGCGGCGCCTCGGTGAACCACCTGCACCTGCACGGGCTCTACCTGGCCCGCCCGCTGCCGCTGGAGGAGGCGCCGGCCGAGCCGCTGGGGCCGGGCCTGGGGCTGCTCCGCGCCGGACCGGCCCCCGCCTTCCTCTTCTTCGCCCCCGGCCCCGCGGCGCTGGAGCCGGTGTCGCGGGCCGTGTGCCGGGCGGCGGAGCACCTGGGCCGTGCCGGGCTGGCCTGCAACGTGCTGGCCACGCGGGGCGACCCGCCGGCGGGGCCCGGGGCCGGCGGCGGCCGCGGGCTGCGGGTGCTGCTGTGGGCGCGCCGGCCCCTCTTCGGCCCCAAGGCGGGCGAGCCCTTCGCCGTGGCGCTGTGCGAGCTGGCAGGGCTGCTGCCGCTGCCCGCCGAGCCGCTCTACCGGGACATCACCGAGGTGCAGGCCCTGAGCGCCATCCGCCAGCACCTGCTGCCCGAACCCGAACTGCTGCACCTGGGCGGGGAGCTGGCGCGGCTGCTGGAGCGCTGAGCCGGTGGCACGGACACCGGCCGGGCCGCTGCAGCGCTGCCGGCACCGGGGGCGCTGCCGGCGGAGGACGCGGGAGCGGCTGTCACGCGGCGCGCGGGGCGCTCCGCCCGCGGGGCCCGCGGCTCGCTGGTGCGGTCGCCATGGGAACGCGGCGGCGCCGGGAGCGGAGCGATGGCGGCGGCCGGCGGCGGCGGGAGCACGGGCCCGGGCCCATCCCCGGGGACCCCTCCGGGCGAGGAGGCGGCCAGCGCCGCGGCCCCCCCCGACCGTCCCGCTGCCCCCGCCGCACCCGAGCCGCGGAGGAAGCGCAGGCGAGTGCGGGCCCGCGGCCCCGGCAGGGTCCGGCCGGAGTCCGGCCTTCCCCAGTCCCCGGGAGCCGGTCCCAAAATAAATAGTGTTCCCTGGAAGTGCCCCAGCGACCCCCTGTGTGACACAGCCAGGCGCATTCCGTGCCCAGAACCAGCGTGCCCGTCCCCTTAGGGCTGTACCGGGCCGGGGCTGGCTCGGTCAGACTGCCCGGGGCGCTCTGTGTATGGGGGGATCGGCTGTGTCCCCACTCTGTCCCGTGCCTCGCTGAGCTGCTGTCATCTCGTCTCTATTCCAGTGTCCCCTCCATCAACCTGAGCGGCTGCAAGTACGAGAGTGGTAAGTCAGAGGTTCTCCAGGTGCCTGCCCAGCCAGGAGCGGTGCTGGCACCCGCTTCCCACCAGTTTATTTACTGCTGCCAGCGACTGGCACAGGACTCTTGTGTTAGTGGAGAGTTTGTCACATTTTGGACTGAGATTCCCCCCAATTTAAAAATATGCAACAGCAGCGTGAGCCCTCACTTGTGTTTGAACATGCCCCACACTTGTGTTTGCCAGCTGTCTGCTAAAATGGGCAAGAAGGGTTTCATCAGGTACAGGGCAAGGGAGCACCTGGACTTGGAGACAGGGCCTGAGAGTTGCCAGCTGTTTAAGGTAAAGCTGGTGGTGAGCAGGCAGGATCTGTACCTGGAACCTCTCCCTGTGCTGTTCATCCCTGGTGACTCCAGGGAACTGGTAGACTCTCCCCTCCCATTCTCCTTCCACAAGCTGGATCTCGAAACAACAAACTTCTGGCCCTTGAGGGGTGTTATTTGCTAAGGGATCTTGGTGTGCGTGGATCTCCATCAGCCCTGCCAAATTCATACTTGGCACGATGAACCATGCCAGCAGAGACCTTTTTCTGCAGAGCTATGTTCTGCTAAAAGACCTTTGATTTGGGAGATTAAATTCACACCTTCACAAGACTTGTATCTGCCTGTGAGTTGTAAGACACATGGGAAGTTCAATCCTGCTGCTGAGGGGTCCTGGCACCTCAAGACAGGTGGAGTTAGAGGCTTAAGAGTTCCCAGAACACTTGCAGCCAGAGGCTTGGGGATTTGGCCAGATAAAACTGGTGTTCTTGACATGTTCCAAGGGGTCATGCCAACACTTTATACCTCTGAGAGGGGAGCTGCAGCCTGAGGAGCTGCATACTCCATCCCATGTTATTCTGGGGGGGGTGTCAGGCCCTGTATGTGGCTCCTCAGCCAGAGGCTTGTTTCACATTCCATCCCTGGTTACTCTGGGGGTTTATCAGTCCCTGAGCGTGGCTGCCCTGTCGCTGCTTGCCTTGGCACAGTGCGGCGGGCGGCGCAGCACTGCGGGCTGAAGGAAGCGGCAGAGAATGAGGAGTGGACGGTGTGCTGGACCGACAGCACGGTCGCCTTGGAGCGCCTCATGGAAATGAAGCGCTTCCAGGTAAATGGAACAGCTGCCCAGCAGGAACTGCTGGGGAGGGAGGGTGACACATGGCTGTCTGTGAACAGAAGCACCCAAAGCAGCGCCCTGTGCCACCTGTGCCTCGGCTCCAGGGCGCAGGGTCAGACGCCTTTGCTGGTGCCATGTCTCTGGCTGGTGTTGGCAGCAGCGTTCACAGCTGTGGCGGGAGCAGCAGTGTTCCAGCCCTGTGATGTGCTGTGAACTAAACAGCCCTTTCACTGCTCCAGGGCTAAGATGGAATAGGCAGATAAATCAGTAGTGAAGCTCGGATAAAACAGCTGTAGCAAGTCTCACCCCCCAGCAGTAGTTCAAGGCAGCCGCAGGCCTGGCTTCCCTCTCACTGCTGGTTCTCCATGTGCAGGCTCTCCTCGGGGCCAGGAGAATCCATCCCCACAGGGCTCTGCTGATCAGGGTTTTTCTGCACTACTTTCAGAAGATCAACCACTTCCCAGGCATGATCGAGCTGTGCCGCAAGGACCTGCTGGCTCGCAACCTGAACCGCATGCTCCGGCTCTTCCCCAAGGAGTACAACATCTTCCCCCGCACGTGGTGCCTGCCAGCTGAGTGAGTCGCTGGGGATGGGGTGACACGGGCAGGGGAGGCTGCTGGGCTGCTCGTTCTGGGCACCGGAACCCAAACCTTCACTTGCTGTGACACGCACACAGTGACCTCTCCTGCACACCTGCCAGTACAGGTGGAGATGTGTGCAGGGGAAAGGAGGGATGCGGAGGCTGGGTCAGGTCACACAGGGACCAGTCTGTGACTCCTGTAGATTAGAAATTAGGAGTTGGATTCATCCCCTGCAGAGGTTCAGTGTGTGCTGGCCTGCAGCACCATGGTTTCAGTACCCAGCTGTTAGTTAGGAGAGAGTTCAGAGGGGTGTTTTTTGCAGCTGGTGATAGTCACCCTTCCCTTGCACAGCTACGGAGATTTCCATGCCTATAGATCCACGAAGAAAGCAAGAACATTCATCTGCAAGCCTGACAACAGCTGCCAGGGAAGAGGGATCTTCATAACCCACCACCCAGAGGAGATCAAGCACGGGGAACGCATGATCTGTCAGCTGTACATCTCTGAGGTACTGGGATGCTCCAGAACATCGGGGTAGGATTCCAGCCTCCCACTCTGCCAGCATCCCCCAGGCTCCCGGGTCTCCTCAGGTCTGCTGGAGGTGTTGGTGTGGCTGCGGCACATCAGGGACACAGACAGAGCTTGTCCATCTGAGCAGCACAGGCAGACGGAGCAGTTCCTCCCCTCACCCTTGCTCCTGCCTCTTTCCTCACAGCCCTTCCTCATCGATGGCTTCAAGTTTGACATGCGCATCTACGTGCTGGTCACATCCTGTGACCCCCTGAAGATTTTTCTCTACAGGGAGGGCCTGGCCCGGTTTGCCACCATGAGATACATCGATCACAGCACGAGAAACCTGGTAAAGAGGAAGTTTTTAAAAAACTTATATAGTACCTGTAGGTGTCAGTGCTTAACTTGTCCTGGGGCATTCCAGGCCTTGAAAAGGTGGGTATTGGCGGTTGCAGGAGTCCTAGCTTGATGCTTTCCTGTTCTTCCTCTATACCCCTTCCTCCTCCTCACAGGAGGTGTTTCAGGAGGGATAGTTCATATACCCCAAGGCCCCACATTTGGGCTGTTTACTGGTATTAGTGGAATAATGGAATTGTTTGCTTGGATGGAACTTTGGAAGGTCTCCAACCTTATGCTGAAAACTTGGTCAACAATAAATTCATATCTGGTTTCTCAGGGTCTCATCTGATCAGGTTTTGAAAACCTGCAGAGTGAAGCCCCCCTGGTGTCTCTGGGCAGCATGTTCTGCTTCTGGCCCTGATAAAAATGCTGAATTCCACACTATTCCTACTCTGCCCATGTTTCAGGCAGAAAAGAACATGGGAGTACCTGGTGGGGCTGTTCCTGTTCTTGCTCAGTGGTTCAGAGTGAACAAACATCTCTTGTGGTTCCCTGCCAGGGTGACATCTGCATGCACCTGACCAATTATGCAATCAACAAACACAATGAGAACTTCGTCCAGGACGACATGGTGGGCAGCAAGAGGTACTGGCGTGTCCGAACACTGCAGGAATACTGCCTGGGGACACTGGTTTCCCTCAGCTTCCCTACACAGCTGAGCCCTTACCACCTCCTGTTCCCACACAGGAAACTGTCCACCCTGAATGCCTGGATGGCAGAGCACAGCTATGACACATCAAAGCTCTGGGCAGATATTGATGACATTGTTATAAAGACACTGATTTCAGCTCACCCTGTGCTGAAACACCATTACCAGAGCTGCTTCTCCAGCCACACTACTGGCTGCGCATGCTTTGAAATCCTGGGCTTTGACATTTTGCTCGATAGAAGGCTGAAGCCATGGCTGCTGGAGGTGAGGAAGGAGTGGAAAGCTCAGAGCTGGGGGACTAGGACAGGGGGTTTGGGATGAACAGGGCCTGTTTGATTCAAAAGGGCCACCTTGCTCACAGAATTAACCAGGCTCTGAAGCCAAACAACCTGCTGTGAGCAGGATCCAAGAGAACCCATTACCTGCACACCATCTAACATCAGGGAGTTTCCCAAGCTTTCAGGCCCCTTGTCCCGTGAGCACCCTGAATTTATGACGGCTGCCCCCTGCCTGCGCCCTGTGGGGTGGGATCCGGGTGCCCTGTGGCACAGGTGGGCAGCACACTGCAGGAGTGCTGTGTGTGGCTGCCTGTCTCTGACAGGGAGCAGAGCGCCCGTGGGCAGTTTGAGGCGTGGCTGGGGCCATGGGTAGGAGCTGGGGTGCCAGGTTAGGTTACCTGCTTGTCTTGGCAGGTGAACCACTCTCCCAGCTTCAACACAGATTCTCAGCTAGACCATGAGGTGAAGGATGCCCTTCTGTGTGACACCTTCAACCTGATCAATGTGCACGCCTGTGATAGAAAGAAGGTGCTGGAGGAAGACAAGCGGCGGGTAAAGGAACGGCTCCTCCAGGCCAACCAGACTCCCCGGGAGTCCAGGTATTGCTGTTCCCCCACAGTGCTCAGGTCCCCAGTGAGCAAAGCCAGGGCATGACAGAGTAGGATAACACCAGTGCTGCCTGCTGGAAGTTCCCAGAGCCTATGGCATTGCGCAGCCTCTGTGCTCTCCCAAGCCATCTGCATCCTGCGAGGAGCCAGGGCTCCTCTCTGGGTGCCAGGAGAGCTGTGACACCTTGTGCTCTGGGCCCTGACAGAGCTCTCCCCAAGCTGCACCTGCTTGTCATCTCATTTGCTGGGGATGGGCAGTGCCAGCATCCTGGGCTGGCAGGGATGCTCACATGAGGAACCACAGCCCTGCCTCAGGCACTGGGGTAGCCTGGGCATGGGCCCTTCTCCAGGGCAGGGCCCCTTTCCAAGGCTGAGGTTTCCCATTCTTCTGTCTGCCCTATGTCTGCCTGCCCCAGAGCCTCCCCCCGCAGGTCCCTGTCCTCCCTCCTGTCCTCCCTCCTGCTGCAGGCGCAGGGAGCAGGAGAACAGCCAGGCTGCCTGGCTGGCACAGGCTGAGACCTACGAGAACGAGCACCTGGGAGGGTTCCGACGCATCTACCCAGCACCTGGCACAGAAAAGTACGAGCCATTCTTCCAGCAGAGCAGGTCCCTCTTCCAGGAAACAGCAGCATCCAAGGCAAGAGAAGAGTATGCCAGGTATGCTGCTCCTGGGGAAACCCACTTCTCACAGGTGGCATGGAGACCACTTGCTCCTGATCCCTCCTGGGGAGCAACTCGGCTTGGCAGGTGTAAGAAAGCAGGGAGAGTGGGAGGGGAAGGGAAGGAGCCTGTTCGTGCTGTGGCACCACAGCAAAGTGGCTCCTTTTGGATGGACTCCAGAGAGGCAAGGGCAGTACTCCACTGACTTTTGGACCCTGGAGACACCATTTCCTAAATGTCCCCCTCCCTTTTGGCAAGCACAGCCTAATCCAAGGGCATTTATCTTTTAAAAAGTCTCTTTACAGGCATCCCTCCCCATCTCTTGGCACACTTATGTTATGGGCTATTCATACAGAACTTGGGCCTGCAGTAAATGTCCTCAGGTTGAAGTCTGCCCCACAGCCTTTTGCTGTTGTGGCTCTGAGCCAGTGAGTGACTGTGCTGTTCTGTGGCAGGCAGCAGCTGGAGGAGATGCGCCTGAAAAATGAAAAGCTGGAAGCTGCCAGGAAGAAGAGGATCCAGAATAAAGGCACAGCTCCTACAAGCCACCTTACCTACAGAAGCACCAAGGCATGGGATAGAAAGGTACCTCAGTGTCAGTATTGTCTCTCCAAGTCAGTGATATGGCTCTGGGAGCTATGCTGAGCCATTGGTGCACCCATGGAGCAGAAATTCCAGGTTTGCCTCCCTGCTTGAAGTTCAGAGACAACTTGTGTTGGCACTACTTGCAAGGCCCAGTGTTGTGGCTTTCCACTTTGGTTCTCACTGGGATCTCTGTCCCCCCCCCAAGACTGTAACTGTCCCCAGGGTTGGAGCAGCTCACAGCTTTCTCACCTGTTTGTTATCCCGGCTTCAGCTATGCTACAGCTCAGGTGTTTCTCTGCCGAGGTGCAGTGCCTGCAGTACAACTCCATGCAGCCCCAGAACATCGTGGCACATGAAGAGAAGAGGAGAGTGAACGCTCTGCTGCAGCGTGAGAAGCTGATCCGGGACCTGGGCATCACTGAGCAGCTGTCCCAGCTGCTCTCCACGGCTGACGCCCAGGGATCCTGCGCACTCCAGAGCCAGGTAATGGCACTGCCCACAGCCACACCACCACCCCACACAGAAGTGGACTGGGCACTGGGCATCCCTGCTGGGGCAGGATGGGGGTCCACTGCAGGCACATCAGCTCCTGGGCCTTCAGGAGGATGAGTCTGGAATGGTGGAGGGGGCATACCTGGGGACAAAGTGCGGGGTGAAGCTTCAGTGTGCACCTGGGTGTGACTGGAGACTTTTCTTTCCCATCTCCTGCCAAGGCCTACAGGAGTAAGTCATGGCTGTTTTCCTTGCCTCCTTCCAGCTGCCGTTTTCCTGGGATGCCATCAGGGACCACAACACCCACGATTTAATGATGCTTATGTCATTGCTGGGAGTCCCAGCTCAGCCCCTGGGACACAGGGTCATGCCCAGCCCTAGAGGCCGGGCCCTGCCGCGGCACATCCCAGACCCAGATCCCAACGACGTGCAGGCCCTCTGCATTCAAGGCCAGAGCATCCCGTACCACGTGCGGCACGAGGGCTCACGGGTGCTGGGCGGGGGCTGGCTGCAGGGCCGGGCAGCGGGGGCAGTGGTCACCCAGCCCTGTGCCCACCCCAAGCGGCTACAGCCGAGACACGAGTGCCTCCCTGGCACCAGAAGCCAGGCTGAAGGCTGTAAGTACACATCACCTACCCATGGATGCTCCTGCCAGGGTGGGAGGGATGGGTGGGCTCGATGGAGCTCTCAGGGATGCTGGGACACTTCAAAAGGGTCACCATGCTCTGCTTGGGTGACCACTGGAAATCTCTGAGGCTTGGAGCATCCCATTTGCAGGGACAGGGAAGAACCATGGGTGGTTTCCCAGGATCAAGGGTTGATGTGCAGGCATGGGGGAGTGCGAGAAGCAAGGAAAGTCAAAGGGGGTGCATTAGCTCCTGGGGTCAGAGGGGGCATGGTGACACAGCATAGCCCCCAGTCTCTTCCCAGATCTTCCTCCCACCACACTGCTGCCTGCCTGTGCTCTCACCCTCCATCCTCGCCCAGCCCGGCTCCCTGGCATCGGCTCCATCCACTTTGCAGCCTTAGGACCAGGGGAGCAGGGGCAGAGGAGGAGCTGTCAGACCAAGCCCCACATGGAAGGGCAGTGGGGGCTGCTGGCGTGCAGAGCTGCTGGCCCTGTACAGCCCCATATCCATCTGTGCAGTTCCAGGTGATGCTGGTAGTGTGTCATCGTCCGATGGAAGCAGCTGTCCCCCCGCTTCCCCAGCCAGCCCAGAGCAGGCCACAGGTGATGATGGCATCTTCAGCTGTGCTGTGGTCCAGGAGCTTCCCAACGCCACTGCCGTTCACGTGCAGCACACACACACCTCACACCACGGCGAAGACTCACCGCGCCAGTGTGTCACACCGTGCCAGTGCCTTGCCCCATGCCAGTGCCTCTCACATTCACAGCCTGAAAAGCACAGGTAACACGGCTGAGGGCTCAGCCCTCCTCCCGTGTGTGCTGGCACGAGTACCAGGACTTGCTGGATGAAACCAGGACAGCTGCTGGCTGCCTCCACCAACTCTGGGGTCGGCTGCTGAGCCCCCTGACCAGAGCCTGGGCCCGGCATGGCTCCGCCAGGCCGGCCCCAGCTAGCTTCACGTCTGCCAGGACTGGAGACTGGTGCTCGCGCCCCTGTGCGTGCGCTGCCCGCTGCGCTCGTGATGTGAATCCCTCCGGAGGCCAGCTCGCCGTGCACCCGGCAGTCCCCGCTCCCCCGGCGGCCCCGCCCGTGCCGGGCCGGTTCGTGCCATGGCGGCGCTGCTGCAGCGCGGCCTGCGGGCGCTGCCGCTCCTCGCCCGGGCCCCGCGGCGGGCGGCGGCGGCGTGGCCCGGGGACCCGGAGCCGCCGGAGCCGGCGCTGGAGGAGGCGCAGAGGTGCGGAGCGGCCGGCCCGCGGCCGGGGCCCGCGCTGGCCCGGGCGCTCACGCGTGTTCCCCGCAGGGCGCGGCGGCGGCGGGCGGCGGCGCGGATGGAGCGGCTGCGGCGGGAGCTGGGCGGGCGGCGCGGAGCCCCCGAGCGCACCCTGACCTGGCAGGCCATGGAGCAGCTGCGGTGAGCGCGGGGCCGGGCGGGCCGCGCCGCGCCCGCTGGCCGCCCGGTGACCGTGCCCGTGCCCGCAGGTTCCTGCGGCGGGAGCTACCCGAGGAGTGGCCGCTGGAGCGCCTGGCCCAGGGCTTCGGCGTCAGCACCGACGTGGTGCGGCGGGTGCTGCGGAGCCGCGGCTGCCCCTCACCGAGCCGCCGCCTGCGGCAGGACCAGCGGGCGCTGAGCGCCGCCGCGGCGGCACCGGCACCGCCGCCGGCACGGGGAGCGGGGCACGGCCGCGAGGTGCGCGCCCCCGACGGGACGCTGCTGTACCGGCTGCCGCGGGGCTGGGGCGGGCCGGGGCCCAGTGCGCAATAAACGCCGCGGGGACCCGCCTCCGCCTGTGTTGCTTCCGTCGCGCCGGGCGCGGGCTCCGAGGCGGCGGGGACGGGCTGCGAGGCGGCGGGGATGGGCTCCGAGGCGGCGGGGACGGGCTCTGAGGCGGCGGGGATGGGCTCCGAGGTGGCGGGGATGGGCTCCGAGGCGGCGGGAATGGGCTCCGAGGCGGCGGGAATGGGCTCCGAGGTGGCGTGGCTGCTGGAGGCCGTGGACTTTGCAGCCAGGAAACACAAGGAGCAGCGGCGGAAGGATCCGGAGGGCACCCCCTACATCAACCACCCCATCGGTGCGGAACCCCCCGGTGCTGCGTCCCGCTCCCGGGAGACCCCCGCGGCCCCTCTCTCCCACAGCACCGTTCACCCTGGGGTCCGTTCTGCCCCGGCGCGCTGCCACCCCCCGGGAGCCCCTCAGCCTGGTCCCTGGAGAGAGCCGTGTCCCTTGTCCCTGCCACGTTCTTCGGCCCGGTGAGGGCAGAGCTGCCGGAGCACTGCGGCCCCGGCCCTGCCAGGCCACTGCCCCACCTTGGGGCAGTGCCACCCCCGGGCCCTTCCTGCATGCCCAGCGGAGCGTTCCCCGCGCGGGACGTGCCCGTGGGCTGGGCTCTGGGAAACCTCCGTGCCCACCGAGCGGCACAGTCCCCGTGCCGCCCTGCGGGCCCGGAGCTGCCTGCTCCCCGCTGCCTGCTCCCACCTTTCCGTTCCCCCTGCAGCCGTGGCCAGGATCCTGGCGCACGAGGCCGGCGTGACGGACCTGGTGGTGCTGCAGGTAACGCCGTGCCCTGCCTGCCCTGCCCTGCCCGGGCCCCGCACTGCCCTGCCCGAGCCCCGCACTGCCCCTCGTGCCCCCCCGCCGCAGGCCGCGCTCCTGCACGACACGCTGGAGGACACGGCCACCACGCCGGCGGAGCTGGAGGCGCGGTTCGGCGCGGCGGTGCGGCGCGTGGTGGAGGAGGTGACGGACGACAAGCGGCTGCCCAAGGCGGAGCGCAAGCGGCTGCAGATCGAGCGCGCTCCCGCCTGCAGCCGCCGCGCCAAGCTGGTCAAGCTGGCCGACAAGCTGCACAACCTGCGCGACCTGAACCGCTGCACCCCGCAAGGTAGCGGCTGAGCCCCGGACCGGAGCCGGGCACCGGGGGCACGGGGGGACCGGAGGAGCCGGGTACCGGAGCGGCACCACGGGACGGGGCGGTGCTGTTGGCCACGCCGAGGGACAGAGGAGCCCCGCGGCTGCCCCGGGCCGGGGGGCGGTGCCGGCAGTGTGTGTATGCCGGTGCCGGTGGAACCGGGACCGGGGCGGCGGGGCCGGAAGTGACGTGCGCCATCCCCGCAGGGTGGTCGGAGGAGCGCGTGCAGGAGTACTTCCGGTGGGCGGCGCGCGTGGTGGCCGGGCTGCGCGGCACCAGCGCGGCCCTGGAGGGGGCGCTGCAGCGCCTGTTCGAGGAGCGCGGCGTGCCCACGTGACCGCCCGCCTCCGCCAATAAACGCGCGCGCAGCTCTCAGCGTCCCCGCGTCGTCATGGTACCGCGCCGTTCCGCCGCCGCCGAGTTCCGGCCGCGCCGCGCCCGCGCTCGGGCGTTCCGGTGGCGGGCCGGCTCCCGCCATGGCGCTGGCCGGGCAGCGCGACGCGCCCGAGCCGCCGGACTTCGGCATCCTGAAGCGGCTGGCGCGGGACCAGCTCGTCTACCTGCTGGAGCAGGTCCGGGGCGCGCACCGCGCGGCGGGCGGGCGGGCGAGGGGAGCCGCGGCACCGGCGCTGGGGCGGGCGCGGGAGGGCCGGGCCGGGCCGGGCAGCCGCCGGGTGCCGGCCCATGCCCGCCCGCCCGCAGCTCCCCGGGAGGAAGGACCTGTTCATCGAGGCCGACCTGATGAGCCCCCTGGACCGCATCGCCAACGTGTCCATCCTGAAGGTACCGCGGGTCCGCTCGGGCCGGCCCCGCCCGCGCCGCCCGCGCCCACCCGCACCTGTCCCCGCAGCAGCACGACGTGGACAAGCTGTACAAGGTGGAGACCCGGCCGGGCCCCGGCGCCAGCGACCAGTGAGTGCCCCGCGGGCCGGGCACTGGGCAGGGCCGGGCAGGGCAGCCCCGCGGCCCGGCCCGGTCCCAGCGGCCTTTCCGTGCCGCAGGTTCTGCTTCCTGGTGCGGCCGCGGGTCCGGACCATGCGCTTCATCGCCGGTGAGTGCGGCCCCTGCCGCCGTGCCCGGCCCGAGGGGCGCTGGGCGAGCCCCTCACGGCTGTGCCCTGAGCCCGGGCGAGCGGGCTGTGCCAGCCCGGGGGAGCGGTGCCCGACGGGTGGGCAGCTGTGCAGGGGCTCTGCGGGGTGTCCACAGATATTGTCAACGCCGACAAGATGTCGGGGAGGAGCAGGAAGTACAAAATCATCTTCAGCCCCCAGAAGGTCAGTGGGAGCCACAGTGTTCCCCCATCACTCTGCCTGCCCAGCCTTTTCACCTTCCACCCGTTCTATAGGCACCAAAATCGTTTGTTTGTAGTTTAAGTAAACACAAGTGTTGTGACACCTGGGAAGGCGCTGGGCCCCTCCTGCTCAGAGCCTGCCTGGCCCTGAGAGTCTTCCCTTCCCCTCCAGTTCTATGCTTGCGAGATGGTGCTGGAGGAAGAGGGGGTCTTTGGTGGTGAGTAGGCTGCAGTGCTGGCTCAGGGTAGCTGACACTGCGAGATCCCAGTTAACTCCCAGTGCTGGGATCCCCGTGCGGGCAGGGACAGGAGGGTGGGCAGGGAACATGGGTTCTCTCGAGGCTGGCTGCCGGCCTGAAAGGACAAGTGTGCCCACACAGCATCAGCCCCTCTCTTCTGCCCGAGGAGAGGAGGGTCCTGCCACCCATCCTGTCTGAAGCTCCACAGGCCCTGTTTTGGGGCTTCTGTGATTTCTGGGGCTCTTCCTGCCCAGGGCTGCATAACTGTTGCTGTCCCTGTCCCGGACACAGATGTCACCTGCGATGAATGGTCCTTCTACCTGCTGCCCCTGGATGAGGACATCATTAGCATGGAGCTGCCCGAGTTCTTCCGTGACTACTTCCTGGTCAGTGGGACGTTGTGCTGGGGTGACAGCCCATCCCATCCTCCTGCCTCACTGGGGCTGGGGACAAGGTGCTGCTAGGGGTGAGGCATGTGGCACCCTGCTCAGCCCTCAGCCTGCAGCACGGGCCCCGTGGACTCCCCAGGGGCAGCTTCTGTGGAGCAGTGGCAGTTTTGGGGCAGTTCCTGCTGAGTGCCTGGGATGAAGCTCCCAGCTCCGTGCCCAGCCCAACCCCAGCTGTGGCAGTCCTTGCCAGCCAGCTGCCCACACTCGCTGCCTCGTCCCGCAGGAGGGAGATCACCGCTGGATCAACCCAGTCGCCAGAGCCCTGCAGTTGCTGAGCTCCCTTTACGGCCCCTTTGGGAGGACTTACGGCATTGGCCGCTGTGCTAAGGTGTGGCTGGCACCAGGGGTCCCCTGGGTCCCCATCAGGGCTGCAGGGACCTGGACCCCATCAGCCACAGGGCAGCACATCACAGAGGTGTCTCTGCGCTGTGCCTCCTCCTGGGCAGGCTTTTGGGGGTCCTGTATGCCAAGGTGGGCAGCGGAGGGGCTCACTTGGGTGTGGCGGAGCCCCCGTGCCCCGAGGCACGGAGCATTTGTGCCTGACCTTGGCTGTCAGCCCTGCTGTGTGCCAGGGCCCTTGGTGGGAGCCTGGGGCTGCTCCCCGCCCTGGCACCCTCTGCCCCTCACAGATGAGCTATGAGCTGTGGCGGGACTTGGAGGAAGAGAGCGAGAGTGAAGGCCAGGGCAGGAAGCCCGAGATTGGACACGTCTTCCTCATGGACAGAGGTGGGCTGAGGCAAGGGCAGTGGCCAGGGCTGCCTGTGGGCAGCACATCTCCCCGAGGGGCAGGGAAGGCTGTGTGGGGCCGCAGGAGGAGCGAGAGGGCAGCCTGGCTCCGGCTCTCCCCGCAGACACCGACTACGTGACAGCACTCTGCTCCCAAGTGGTCTACGAGGGGCTGGTGGACGACACCTTCCGCATCAAGTGTGGTACGTGACCTCTGTGCCTGGGGCTCTGTGCTCACACCTCAGGGCTCTGTGCTCACAGCAGGGCAGCTCAGGGCTCTTCACTCAGGGCTCTGCATTCACAGCTTGGGGCTCTGTGCTCACAGCACGGGGCTCTGCACTCACCTGGCCAGCGTCTGCAGGGTTTGTGCCTGGCATTGTCTGGCACCGTGCTGTTCCCACAGGGGCAGTCCCAGCGTGGGGTGCTGCTGGAGGTCATTCACAGAGAGTCCTCACTTTGACCAAGTGACTGGGCTGGTACCCCCCTCCCTGTCTCTGCTGCCTCTTACAGCAGGGCTCGTGCACGTGGGACAAAGCAGCTCTCCATTTTTCCCTGCAGGCAGTGTGGATTTTGGGCCAGATGTCACCTCTTCTGACAAGAGTATTAAAGTGCTGCTCAATTCCCAGGACAAAGTGAGTCCCCTTGGTGGGAGGAGGCACAGTGGAGCATTCCCTCCCCTAAGCTTGAGCAGCTGGAGGCTGCTTGGAGCATGGATTCAGGCACAGAGACCAGAGAAACCTGGTGCAGCTCCACTTCTGAACCTGCCAGAGTCCCTGCATGCAGGGCTGTGTCACAAATGAGTGTTTTAAGGTCACTGAAGGAATCCCCAGCAAAGGCATCTGCAAAAACAGGTTTAATGTAAAAGCTGCAGCATGACAAAATTCATTGGCAAAGTTCTAAATTGTTAAAGCACACAGATAAAAAGCAAAAAAAAAATATAAATCAATGAATCCACATCAAAATCAACCCAAAAATATCTACATGGAGGTCAAGGTGGGGAATGAGGGGGGAATCAAAAGAATAGAAAAGGAATACAGAAGAGCCTCCTGTTGAGTCATGGGGTTCATAGTTATTTTCCATCCTGGCCACAATTCAGGTTGTATTTTTACTATGGAATTTGAAAATGAAAATATTACTCCATGTGGGTTTTTACTCGGGTTACAAAAAT